TATTCTTCTGCTAATCACCAGAGTTGTGTTCCTTACTTTGTTTTCATCTTCTCCAAATATCAGGTATGTGGTTCTGATCTCTAAATCATCTACATTTCTTTGTTGTTTTCCCATGTTACATGCTTGATTCTGAATGTTGGATCTTCGAAATTTGACCCCTATTGCATGCTACGAACTCCCCCACGTTAATCCTACATGCCTTAAGACCCTTCACATAGTAAACAGAATGGGGTGTTGTATTAAGTAAATAAAATGGGGGTGTATGTTTCTGATAATTGTTTCTGACCTAGGTTGATAATCCTCCAAATTGGCATGCTAAAACTCAAGAAACTATTGCCTTACAATTGCTAGTATGATGGGTCATTGGGTTAGAAATTGTGGTTTCATAAGTATTCTTTCAATTAGAATTTTAAGGGACGATTGAGGCATCCCAAGTTATATCACTGAAAGACATAAAGAGACCCCATCGATAGACCGTTGTGCCCTCGACGGACCATCATGGGGTCCGTCCCACCAATTCCTATGTATTTTCTCTAAGTGTCCATCGACGACCTCTACGACGGACCGTCGTGCCCTCAACTTTCCATCCCGTGCAACCGCCATGGTTGTCAGAGACCCTATTCCTAAAGGTCTCAAAATTTTCTCCAAGTGTCCAACGACGGACTGTCGTGCCCTCGACGGTCCGTCCGGCACAACCATCATGGTTGTCAGAGACCCTATTCGTAAGGGTTTCAAAATCATTTCTAAGTATCCTACGATGGACCGTCGTGCTCTCGACGGTTCGTCCTACACAACCGTCATGGTTGTTAGAGACCCTATTCCTCAGGGTCTCAAAAAATTTTCTAAGTGTCCATCGATGGACCTCTATGACGGACCACCATGCTCTCGACGGTCTGTCCTGCACAACTGTCATGATTGTTAGAGACATTCTTTAGAGAGTCTCCAATAAATTTTCTTAAGTATTTCATGACGGACCATCATGACGGTTCTTCATGCTCACGACGGACCGCAAACTGGACCGTCGTCCAGCACAAAAACTACAACAATACCATTTCAATTTTGGTTTTCCGTTTTTGTTTTCTTCTATACATGTCTTGTTTGTTTCTACTGGTACTGATTGTTGTTCTTTAGAAGTACTAACATTTATGGAACCAAAGCTAGATTGCGTGTACGCACGAGGTCTCTCAAAGTCCGTCGCCCCATCTGACCGACTGGTCATTGGCTCTAACGATGAGTGCGACCCCGAATACGTGCCCCTAGGCAGTGTCACTCCTGCAAGGGCTACACGTACCACCAGAGCCACCCCCACTAAGGTGGCGCCCAACGTAGTCACTGCCTCCTAGTCTGAAGAGGAACACATACTGACCGTCACACCTTCTGAGTCTGATACACACTCCAGATGCTTCCGGCTCTGAGGAAGTACCAGGTTCAGAAGAAGTCTCCAGTTCTGGGAAGGATTCTTCTCCAGCCACTACATCTTAGTCAGCCTAGTCTGATGAGGCCGATGATGCTGATTCCACTCCAGCACCACTAACTAGAGTCCCTGCCTTGGTTGCCGACCAGAACAACCGATGGTGTGTTGAGGGAAAGTTTCAGGTGTACTCTGACGCCAAGCTGCCGAATGATAAGGGGGTTATGACTCGGACCCTTACACTGGAGAGGCGGATCCTCACGGGGAGTCTCCCCACCATGCCGGCAATCCATGCCCTCTTCACCAGGCATCAGCTAGAATGGACGGTTCGCGATGTGGGACAATACAGTAAGGAATTGGTCAGAGAGTTTTATGCCTCGTATGTGGCGACTCTCCAAGCCCAGATAGACAGGTGGACTGCCCCCGCCAAACAGGCCCCGCTAAAGCACATCCGAGTCTCCGGCAAACGAGGTTGATGCCAACTGAACTCCTCTCAGTGCTGAGTTTCACTGCCGGTGGAAATGTGTTAAAGATGGATAGTTCCTGTGTGATCTAGAGTTGAGAGAGACCACCAAGAGGTGGATTGCCCGATACTTATCTGTTGATGGAGAGGCTGCTGATTGGGTATTTGAGCCAAAGGGAGCCATAAAGAAGGATAACCTGACCTTCACAGCTAAGTTTTTGTGGTTGATAGTCCGCCACTGCCTTTGCCCCCAGTGCTACAGAAAATTTTGTCACTTGGGATCAGTTCTGATGGCGGCGATGATAACAGGGTTTGAGGTGGACTTCGCTTGGCTTCTTCAAGCGGTCATGCACGAGAGGGCCTTCATGATCACTACTACTTACCCATTTCCGTGCATGGTGTTTGCTTTGTGCAGGTCCGCAGGTGTGCCTATTTGGCACATTGATCAGATCAAGACCCCGTTGGATACTCTTGATATAGGTCTTATCAAGGATGAGGCCAATGAGTTGTCCCCAGGCAGAGGGCCCCGCCCGAAGGTAACTCTGCTTAGTGAGAACCT